TCTCTCATCCCTAATAACTCCCCAATCCTTCATCCTACATCCTCCCTCCTTTCTCCTCCCTCCCCCTCCTCTCTCCTCCCTCATCGCTCCTTCCTCCGCTTCCCATTCCTCCTCCCTCCTCCTTCCTCCCTCATCTCTCCTCCTCTTCCGCATCCTCCTTCTCGGCCTCCTCCTCCTCATCCTCCTCCTCCTCATCCTCCGCCTGTACCTCCTCCTCCTCCTCCTCCTCCTCATCCGCCTCCGCCTCCTCCTCCGCCTCCGCCTCCTCCTCCCCCGTTTCATCCTCATCCTCCGCTTCCGCCTCTGCATCTGCCTCCGCCTCCTTCTCCTCCTCCTCCTCGTCCTCCTCCTCCATCCCTCCTCCTCCTCCTCCTCCGCCTCCTCCTCCTCATCATCCTCCTCCTCATCATCATCATCATCAGCATCATCAGCATCATCATCATCACCATCTTCATCTTCACAGTCATCTTCATATTCATTATCCTCCTCCGTTTCTATTATCGTACCCTTCCTCTTCCTCGTCATCGTCCTCTTACTCCTCATCCTATTCCTCCTCCTGTTCCTCATCCCCCTCCTCCTCCTCCTCCTCATCATCAGCATCATCATCAACATCATCAGCAGCAGCATCATCAGCAGCATCAGCATCATCATCAGCATCAGCATCATCATCGTCAGCAGCATCAGCAGCAGCATCAGCATCAGCATCATCATCATCAGCATCAGCATCATCACCATCAGCAGCCGCAGCATCATCATCATCATCAGCAGCATCATCAGCATCATCATCATCATCAGCATCATCAGCATCAGCATCATCCTCTTCCCCCTCCTCCGCATCCTCCTCCTAATGCTCCTCATCCTCCGTTTCCGCCTCCTCCTCCTCCGTTCCTTGTCCTTGTAAGTAACGTATCCCTGTCGTACCCCGAAGCCAGTTGTTTGTGGGCAGGCCCAGCGTTTCGCCTGGGACGTCCTCACCACGTATGGCTCTGGAGCTTGAAAATTGACAACAGCTTCACGGATGGAGGGCGGGCCGTGTTCAAAATGTGGCTCTCGCCATAACGCGGCGCACGCTCGCTGCAAAAAATCCAAGGGTTTCACGGATTGAGGCGGGTAGATTTCAAAGTGTGACTCTCGCCTCAGCGCGGCGCATCTGTGTGCTAAAAATTCGCAAGTGTTTCACGGATTGAGGGCGGGTTGTTTTCAAACTGAGGCTCTCGCCTTAGCGCTGTTCACATTCATGTTAAACCTGTGCAAGGGCTTCACGGATTGAGGGCGGGTGGTTTTCAAAATGTGGTTCTCGCCTCAGCGCGGCGCTCACATGTTTAAAAAAAAAATGCAAAGAGTTCCACGGATTCACATCATCAACGTGCCAGACAGGGTGGTTTGAAAAGAGTCCCGATCATGATCCGCTGTGTGAAGTCCCAAGAATGGCGTTCTGGCACGATTCTGGATTGTCAACACGCAGCAGTCAGGTTGATCCGTGGTGTTGGAATCCCGACAACAATGTGTTGGCATGCTTCAGGGTCTTCAAACGGCTGTCTTCCAAAAAAACAGTTCCTTCAATGGAAATGAACGGTTGCAGGGGCCTATGAAGAGGAAGCTTGGAGGAGGGTGGATTACAACATCGTTGATGCCACTTGGGTTTACACTGATCCTCCTCCTCCTCCACCTCCGCCGTCGCCGACGCCGCCTCCGCCTCCGCCTCCGCCTTCTCCCCATCCTCCGTCCCCTCCTCCTCCTCCTCCTCCTCCTCCTCCTCCTCCTCATCCTCCTCCCTCATCTTCCTCTTCCTCCTCCTCCCCCTCTCATCCTCTCCTCCTCCCCCCCCCTCTTCCTCCTCCTCCTCCTCCTCCTCCCGCTCTCCTCCTCCTCCTCCTCCCCCTCCCTCCTCCTCCTCCTCCTTCCCTCCTCCTCCTCCTCCTCCTCCTCCTCCTCCTCCTCCTCCGCCTCCCTCCTCCTTCCTCCTCCTCCTCCTCCTCATCCTCCTCATCTGCCTCATCCTCAATCTCCATCTCCTCCTCCTTCCTCCGCCTTCTCCGCCTCGCATCCTCCTCCTCTCCTCCTCCTCCTCCTCCCTCCTACTCCTCTTCCTCCTCCTCTTCCTCCTCCTCCTCCTCCTATTATATTCCCTCCTCATCCTCCACCGCCTCCGCTCCTTCCTCCTTTTCCCGTCCTCCGCCTCCTCCTCCTCCTCCACCTTCTCCTCTTCCTCTCCTCCTCCTCCTCCTCCTCCTCCTCTCCTCCTCCTCCGCCTTCCTCCCGCACAACCCCACTCCTCACGCCAGCGTCCCCCACCTTTCCCATAACGTCCCTCCCTCGCCCGCCTCCTCCCTCCTCCTGCCCCTCCTCCTCCTCTCCTCCTCCTCCGACTCCTCCTCCTCCTCCTCCCTCCCTCCTCCTCCTCCTCCTCCTACCTCCTCCCCTCCTCCTCCACAGTCCTCCTCTCCTTCCTTCACCACAACCAACTCCACCTTCTCTGAAAAAAGCCTCCTCCTCTCCTCCTCCTCCTCCTCCTCCTCCTCCTCCTCCTCCTCCTCCTCATCATCTCATCATATCATCATCATCATCATCATCATCATCATCATCATCGATCTCATCATCATCATCATCATCATCATCACATCCAATCTCATCATCATCATCATTCACCACCATCATCATCACCATCATAACTCATCATCATCCATCATCATCATCATCATCATCATCATCATCATCATCATCATCATCATCATCATCAGTCATCATCAATCATCATCATCTCATCATCATCATCATCGTCATCAGCATCATCATCATCATCATCATCATCATCATCATCATCATCATCATCATCATCATCATCATCTGCATCATCATCATCATCATCACCACCATCATCATCATCATCATCATCATCAGCAGCAGCAGCAGCATCATCATCATCATCATCATCATCATCATCATCATCAGCAGCAGCAGCAGCAGCATCATCATCAACGTCATCATCATCAGCATCATCATCATCATCATCATCATCATCATCAGCATCAGCATCATCATCATCATCATCATCATCACCAACACCATCATCATCATCATCATCAGCATCATCAGCATCATCATCATCAGCAGCATCAGCATCATCATCAACATCATCAGCAGCAGCATCATCATCAGCATCATCATCAGCATCATCATCAGCATCAGCAGCATCATCCTCATCCTCATCCTCATCCTCGTCCTCGTCCTCGTCCTCGTCTTCATCCTCATCATTATCCTCATCCTCATCCTCATCCTCATCCTCATCCTCATCATCAGCAGCATCATCATCATCATCATCAGCAGCAGCAGCAGCATCAGCATCAGCATCAGCATCATCATCATCATCATCATCAGCATCCATTCCGTTTCCTTGTAAATAACTTCTCCCTGTCGCACCCCGAGGCCAGGTCTTAGGGCGGGCCGGGTGTTTCGCCTGAGACTTCCTCACCACTTATGACTCTGAAGCTTAAAAATTGACAACAGCTTCACAGATGGAGGGCGGGTGGTTTTCAAAATGAGGCTCTCGCCTTAGCGCCGCGTACATTTCTTCTAAAAGTCTGCAAGAGCTTCACGGATTGAGGGCGGGTCGTTTTCAAAATGTAGCTCCCGCCTTAGCGCGGCGCACACTCGTTTGAACAAATTGCAAGAGGTTCACGAATTGAGGGCGGGTGGTTTTCAAAATGCGACTCTCGCCTTAGCGCGGCGCACACTCATTTTAACAATGTGCAAGAGGTTCACGGATTGAGGGCGGGTGGTTTTCGAAATGTGGCTCTCGCCTTAGCGCGGCGCACAATCGTTCTAATAAAAATTTGGAAGGGTTTCACGGATTGAGGGCGGTTCCTTTTCAAAATGTGGCTCTCGCCTGAGCGCGGCGCACACTCGGTGTAAAAAAATACAAGAGGTCAACGGGTTCCCATCATCAACGTACCAGAAATGGCGTTTCGGAACGATTGAGTTACGCGAGTGCAACAATCACAAAGTCCTAGAAATGGCGTTCTGGCGCGATTCAGGATCGCCAACACGCAACAGTCAGGTTGATCCGTGGCGTTGGAATCCCGAGAACACTGTTTTGGCATGATTCAGGGTCTTCGAACGGGTGTCTTCCAACGAGGCAGTTATAGCAATGGAAATGAACCGTTGTAGGGGCCTGTGAAGAGGGAGCTTGGAGGGTCTACTCCATCATCGGTGATGACTCTTGGGTTTACACTGGTCCTCCTTCTCCTCCGCCTCCTCCTCCTCCTCACCCTCCTCCTCCTCCTCCTCCTCCTCCCCTCCCCCTCCCCCTCCCCCCCCCTCCCCCTCCCCCTCCCCTCCCCCTCCCCCTCCTCCTCCTCCTCCTCCCCTCCTCTCCTCCTCCTCCTCCTCCTCCTCCTCCTCCTCCTCCTGCTTCCACGACGACGACTTCGATCCCAAATCCGAATCGAGCTCCCCTTCCGGGTGTGTGTATATAAAGACAAGGCGGCGGGGCAGTCCTTCTCCTTCCGTAGTCTGTCCTCCTCGTCCTTCGCCCGCTTCAGCTCGAGGAAGGCCACGTGCGCGGGAGACCCGACGAAGAACGGCAGATTCGTCAACGTCTTCTCCAGGTGATTCCGCCAGGCTCCCAGGAGAGCCACCGCCTCGTCCTCCGCCCGAGCCCCCTTGTTCCTTGTTCTCGTCCTCTCTATCCTCGTCCTGCTCACTATTTGGCATCTTACCCACACGTCTCCGCTAAACCAAACCCCCTCTCTCCGCCCGCCCGGGCGCGTGCCACTAGCACAGCCCCACCCCACCCCCTCCCCACCTCACCTGTCCCCCCCCCACTCCTGGAGTTCGCTGCAACCTCGGGAGGCCCAGGAAAGACCCCAAACAAAACCAAGGTACGAGACAAATGTCCCCGATCCTCCACCTTCCCTCTTCGATTCTCCTCACCTTGCCCCGCCGCACCGGGCCCCGCCCCCGACGCCAACCGTTCACACACTTCTTCCGCCAACGCGGCAATGGGCCGCAATCGGCGGAACAAGTGGCACGGGTCACGTTGCAAAAGAACCAGGGCGGCCACCGTGCGTGGAAACGTGCACAGTCCCTGGAGCGTCCCGAGTCCAGCGGGACACCCCCGCCAAGAGCGGCGAGAGGGCCCCGTCGTCTGAATTCCCTCCCTCGTAGCCGGCGCGTGGGGGGGGGGAGGACTCGTGGGCCGACTGGATCGCCAAACTCGGAGGCCTCAGCGCACGCGGCGTCAACGGCGCAGGCGCACGGCCTTCTCGCCCGAAGCTCCAATGGGTGGCCGTGCCGTCTGCTCCGTGGGCAGCGCGCCGTGCCGTGGGGTCACAGCGGGGGCGCGCCTCGCCAGGAGTCGAACGCCATGTCTGCACGAGGCCCTCCCGCCGATAGGGGGCCACATGTGAATCCTACCCCTACCCCCCACGATTTCCGAGGGGGAGGGTGGGGTTCACTTCGCTCGGGAGCTCCCAAACGAGGTGAACCCCACCCTCCCCCTCGGAAATAGTGGGGGGTAGGGGTCGGGTTCACATGTGGCCCCCCAGCCGAACAACCTCGTGATCACGCAGCACGGTTTGGTTTCATCTGCTCCGTGTCTGCCCGAGGCTCTCCCGCCGAACAGCCTCGGGGTCGTGCAGCACGGTGCGGCTTCCTCCGAGCCCGCTCGGCGGGTGGGTGTCCGGGGGGGCCCGTGCGAGGCCCGCTCGGAGGGGCAGCTCGCGCACCCGACAGGCAGTGAGCGCGAGATGTCCCCGCGCAGGGGTGAGCGACCCACCGTCTCCGAAAGAACCCATGGATGGTTGAACCCCCACGGGGCCAAACAGATGTCTTCAAGATCTTGGGTGAGTGAACTGCGAGGTGATCAGTCACGGTGAATCTCCTGTGTTGCGCGCAATGTGGAAGTACATGTGCGGGGGGGGGAGGGGCGGGCGCTTACTTTTGAGAAACAGATAGCACGGACTCTCCCCTAAACCGTCCGCTCGGGCTAACTTGAACAGAAAGATAGGTACCCCCATCTATTCAAATGATGCCCCCGTTGAGTTTCCCAATGACATATGAATCGCCACCGCCAAATCGCAAGGTTTGTGTCAGCTGTTTGGCGGACTCTGTAATCCTGTAGCCTCCAATTCCTCCTATTCTCCTCCTCCTCCTCCTCCTCCTCCTCCTCCTCCTCCTCCTCCTCCTCCTCCTCCTCCTCCTCCTCCTCCTCCTCCTCATTTCTATTATCCTTCTGAATGCCTCCTGCCTGTCGCACCCCGAGGCCAGTCGGAAGGGCGGGCCAGGCGTGTCGCCGGAGATCCGCCGGCCCCCTTGTGGGGCCACCAGGCTGTAGGCCGAAGCGTGCTGTTCCCTGCATCAGTTGCAGCTTCGAGTCTCCAACGATGCAGTCCCGCCTTCTGTTGCCTACTGTAAACTGTTGAAGTCCACGCGAAGGAAGGGAGCCCCAAACTGCCCCCCAACTTACCACGCCCGGATCGCGCTGCCTGAATTCCTAGAGGGGCGTGGGACACGTAAAAATACATGATATTCGTGTCTACGAGGCCATAATCAATTGTAATGTGCGCAATGGTCGCGTCCCCGAGGCCACGAGCCCATGTAAATGACGCATCTGTTCCGTCCCCGAGGCAACAAACCTGAGCGAGCCCCAAGAGGCCAAAATCGTAGATTTGACTATGGTGTTTGGAAGATTCTGGCCTTCTCGCATTTTCGGCTTTCCGACGCTCCAAGACGACACAAGAAGCTCCCAAGACCGCCTCTGGACAGCCCAAGACGCCTCCAAGCGGGCCCCAAGACGGCCCAAGAGGGCTTCAGAACAGCCTGAAACGCTCAAGACGCAAGAGGGCCCCAAGACGGCTCCAAGAGGGGCCCTAGCAGGGAACCACGAAGCGAACATCCGATATTTGTGCCCCGAGAAGCCGCCAGAAGGCCCCAAGAGGCCCCAAGAGGCCCCAAGAGGCGCCCAAGACGCGCCCAAGAGGCCCCCAAGAGGCCCCCAAGAGGCCCGAAAGGTACCCCACGAGGTCCCAAGAGGCCATCAAGAGGCGCCCAAACCGCCTCCACGAGGCCCCCGAGATGCACCTCAAAATTCAGGAGTCCGGCAAAATCTCCTCCTCCTCCCCCTCCTCCTCCTCCTCCTCCTCCTCCTCCTCCTCCTCCTCCTCCTCCTCCTCCTCCTCCTCCTCCTCCTCCTCCTCCTTCCTCCTCTCTCTCGCTCCCTCCCTCCAGTCTCGGCTCGAGAGTGCCCTGCACTCAGACCGCAGCCGCGACGCGAAGCGCCCCGCCTCGGAGTCAGTCTCCCAGGCCTCGCGAGACCGGAGGGGTCCCAGCAGGACCCTACTGATTCGCGTCACCTCCTATCTCCCCCACCAGAGTGGCCGCCGCAATGGCCCCCGCCAAGCCGGAGCGCCGTCGCTCTTCCAAGCAGCCGCCGAGCTCACGTCCTGCAGCTGAAGGGTCTCTCCTCCAACGCAAACAGGACTGCATTGCAGCTTTCAAGCAAGCGGGGTCTGACCGCCCCACGGCCGCATACAACGGGCTCGCCGAGCTGAACGCGGACGAGCTGCAGGCCACGTACGACATGCACAAGACCAACACAAAGAAGCTCGGCAGTGCCTTGATCCGCATGTGTGCCGCCAACCAGATCAGCTACACGCTGGATCACCACCAGCGCAGCAAGCCTAAGCGCAGTGGTGGTGACACACCCTACCCACCAGCTGCGTCCGCACGTCTTCAGGCTGCGGACGCCCAATTCATTGCCTTGGACCCGGCCTTCTGGAAGGTCCCAGTCCTGGCCGAACCCACATCACTCGATGACGGCAAGACGTACAAGCCCAGCATCAGCCTCCACGACTACGAGAGCGGTGAACGGCTGCTGCAGCACCACCTCGAGCAGGGTAAGCGTACCACGGGTCAGCTTGCGATTGCTGTCATGGGCCCAAAAAACGATAACTACGTCGGTACCGAGCTCGCCGTCCCCGTGCTGAAGCGTCACCCCAAGGCGCCCAAAGTGGTCCACACGCACGTCCCCGTGACCGTGTACCAGCTGGGCACCAAGGAAGTCGCCTGCACGGAAAAAGTTGCCGTCGCCACCATCGATCCTGCCGACCACGTATGCTGGATTCGGGTGACCATACATGAAACCGAAGCCATCGCCGCAGTCCCCTCCATGCATCAGGCTTCGAGGATCAGTTCTCGGGAGGTGCCCCCGTGAACGGTGGTCCACGCGCCAAGGGTCCTTTCCGAAGGGACTCCGCTCCACAGGACAAGGCGCGCCAAAACCAAAAGCACAGGGAGTCCAAGAAAGACGCTCGCCGCCAGGAGCTCGATAGTCAGCTCCAGGACACCTTCAAGGCCCTCTTCCACGGCAACTTTAAAGCCGTCACCATCCTCGAACCCTGCAAAAGCCTAGGCAGGTATGGATCGGGCGTCGGAAAGAGGTCCCTGGCTGCCACCTTCGGCGTCAGTCTTCAAGCGGTTGACAAGGTCTTGGCGGGTTCAGGGCAACTCGGCGCCACCTACGACCTCAGCAACGTAGGTGCAGACGAGCCCACTGCAGACAAGTACCAGACCGTGTGGTTCCCTGAGGACCAGCCCATCACGATGGCAGATGCGTTCCAGAAGTCGGTGGACTTCAAGGCCCTAGGAGTCGTCAGGCACGGCAAGTCAGGCTTATTGGGGATCCGTGTTGCACGAGGGTCAGACGCCGCCAAGGCTGCTGCCGTCAGCATCCGTGGCTGTGAAGCCACCCTCGCCAAGACGCGATACCGCATTACTGGCATTGCGGCACGCCACGCCACGCTGACCCAGCTTGCTAAGACTCTCACGGGCCCGTCCGTCAAATGGGACTGTGAGGTCTACCACACCGCCTGGGACCCAGCCACTTCGGCTCAGTTTGCCTTAGTGCGCGCCCATCGTCCCCCACCCACATATACGGTACAGGTCGCAGGGTGCCCCATCCCGTGGAGCATCACCGAGGCCCCGTTGGCTGAGGTGGTGCCGAAGAGGGACAACGTTACCATTGTCACCCCTACCACTATCACAGAGCCTGTGACGCCGCCAGCCCGTGGTGGCGGCTTCAGCCCCGCCACGGGCACACTCCTAACCAAAGCGGCCCAGAGTCCTTACCTCCACGACCTCATGACTGCCACGCCCAAAGGCAAGGGCGTCGCACCGCTCCCGATCCCCAAGGAGGAGCCTCTAGCCAAGCGCCACCGATCCTCCAGCGGGAAACGCGACGCCACGCCGCACGCAAGATCACACGGCGCCCCAGGCCGCAGCTCCTCTGCACCCCCGCACGGCACGGATGGAGCTGCCGAGCAGACGGCCGTCCAAGGACCAGGTGGTCATGACCCGCAACTTGGCACGGTGGCGGCTGAAGGCGGGGGCCACACGGAAGGGGACGCTGCCACAGCCGCCGAGGTACCAGGCGACGCTGACGACGTCGAGATCCTCTCATCAGGGGACGAATTCAGCGTGGCATCTCGCGAACTGAACACCCTCGGCGAACGCTTCGCAACGGCCCCTAAACTGTCAGATGCCGCCACGACCCGCATCCAACACATGGAACAACAGCACGAGCTGCTTGCCAACACGGTGGATAACATGCAGGTTCAGCTTGCGGGCGTTCTCTCATCCCAGGCCACACTCACGGAGCACGTTTCAGGGTTGGAACGAGGGCTTGCCACCGTCGTCACCCAGCAACAGACGGCAACTACCGAAGCTGCTGCACTGCGTGGCGACATCCAGGCCCTCCTCGGGCACCTCACGGGGGGCACCATCCACCTGCCACAGGTGGCCACCCTCGAAACCAAAAAGGAGGAAGCTGCATCAGTTGCCGATCCCGTGGCTGTCTGCGGGTGGATTGACCAGCCAGGCCAGGTCACCCCAGGGACGGGGCCCCCAGGGGCTGACAAAGGCGAAGACAAGGGTCGGGCCACTCAGGAACCCTATTGAAGGTGCCTCAGAGAGCCTGCCTCAGCCCTCCGAGGAAGCGCCTTCAGAGG